ATATATGCGCAGTAGTAACTTGAAAATTTTAATTTTAAAATATTTCTAAAATAAATGATAACTATTTAATAATGTAGTAAATTATCTATTCTTTTTTGTTTCAAAGTGAGTGTCGATTAGTTTGTACCAAAATAAGTGTTGATGTTACTGTTTTAGTTTGTCATAAAACAAATACTCACTTAAGATGAAAATGTTTCTCTTTGTGATTAAGGGTAAAATTGTTATTTTATAACTAAAAAGTGTAATAATTATGCAAATCTAAAACTGTTTTTTTTCTAAAGTAGACATTAGGGGTGACAATTTTGTACAAAAACCAAATCAACCAATATGTGTACCAAGTTACCAACCGTATCTACTAAATTGGTACCAACTTAATTGATATCAGTTATTATCGATTAATAATACCGTACCAAGAATACAAACTTGCTTGGTACATGGTATTGGGAATTACATATCATATGTGGTATCTGAAAATTCAAAATGATACTCAAATTTTAAACAAAATGACAGGTTTTCATATGTGTAACTTGAAATTGATATAAAACCAGTGTCAATATGTATCAAACAAAAACTATTGGTATCAATTAAGTTGGTACAAAGTACAATTAGTTAGATCTTATATACTAAGGGGGGTGTTTGGGATTGCTTGTTCGAAACAACTTATGTTTTTTATAAAAGCACCTATCAACTTATTATAAGTTAGAAGGCTTTAACTTCTTCAAAAACTTCTTATTACCGGTTTGGCACTGCTATAAGTTGTTTATCCAAACACTAAAAAATGTTTATTATCGGTAGCACATCGAAATAAGTCAATAAGCTTTTTTATAAGCAATCCTAATCGCCCCTGATTATAATTGATTGATATATGATATTTAAAAAAAATTGTTAGGATACCAAATTCATGGTGTGGAGAATGGAGATTTACTCTGGAACGAAAGATGCATAAATTAGAAGACCGCCATTTTTTCGACGTAAGATATTTATCCAACCATGCCGTCTTCCACCAATCTTCTTCTTCTTCAGCTCGTGATCTCCGCCCTCATGTTATCGGCCACCGCCGGCACCACCACCGGCGATGAGTTTACGTGGACGTCGAAGCAGATCGGAGGATGTAGAGGATCTATAGCCGAGTGTATGGGACTGGGAGGCGGAGAAATGGAGATGGAATCGGAAAGCAGCAGGCGTATATTAGCGACGACAGACTACATAAGCTATGAGGCACTGCAGGGGAACAATATACCGTGCTCGCAGAGAGGTGCGTCGTACTATAACTGTCAATCAGGTGGTCAAGCTAATCCGTACCAGCGTGGTTGCAGTGTGATTACTCGTTGTCAACGTTGATTTTTCTTCCTTTTCCTATGTGAATCTTCCTCTGTTTCGATTATAGTTTCATAATGATATGGTGATTGCTAAATGGTAATTGTTGGATGAATCTCGATCGCTGATTTCCACTTGACGGCATGTTTAACCACCGTAAACATCTTCTTCCTCCGAGTTTTCTGTTTCGATTATAGTTTCATAATGATGTGATTGATTATGTTGATTGTTAGTTCTTGGATGGATCTCATTGCTGATTTCCTCTTCACAGCATGTTTAACCACCGTCATATATATATATATATATATATATATATATATATATATATATATATATATACTAGAAGC